AAGCTGAGTCTTGAGCTGAACTGATTGAAAGGACAAACTAGCTACAATAATGTCTCTATATATACCCGGTAAATAGTACAAGTTTATTCAGCCATGACCAATAACAGCTGACTTCTCTGATCTAGCAATATGTGAACATATTGATGGTTTGTAACTAGATTGCCATCTCCAGAAAAGACATATATATACTATTCAAATATCAAACAAAGTATGAAATATTGCATTAGGTGAATGAACACACATGTGGTTTTGTTGAACTGGCACATGAAACTTGATGTGAAAAAACATCATTATGGAATATTAAATGGCCAGTTACATGTTTCTCTCACAATGACGTAGGTCTGACTGACTGACCTGAGTCTTCAAGTTCAAACTCGGGTTCATGAACGCCTCTACGTCGGTTTTCATCTACCAACAATCCATAAGGATATTCATTCTGTGGATACTTGTAAAGTGCTTTCATGTAGGAATTAGTTGGGGTACAGTCTAAGTAGTAGTAGTTCTCTTTGCAGTCTTCACCATGGTTACCTTGAGGTCCTATGGAGGAGAAATCCACAAATGGAACTAATTGTATGTATTCAAAAAAAAACTTTGCACACAGTATAATTAACCCTTTGAACAATAAAGTCAAATTTGTCATCTTTTTCAAAAAATAAATCAGCATAATTATTTAGCCTCTGACTAGACACATAGTGGTACCATGTTTAAGATTGGGTTCTGTTTTGTTCATTTGTCTGACACATTTTCTCAGAGGCTCATGGACCAAAGATTGCACATAGTTGATCCATGATAGTAAGGTATATGTATGCCCCTGATTTTTTGTATCAGATTCTTGATGGCCAACTGGCAGCCATATTTGACCAAAAGTTTCCCTGAAAAATATGTGTGTAGAGCATTTACCTTGTGAAAATTATTTCTGTTCAAACTTAGCATATCGATAACACCTGTGGACTTACTGAGGTACATCCATTTTTTTTTTAGAAATTGGCTATCACTAAGTTTATATAACTTCATACTGAAGTATTGAATTGTTTCACGAAAATGTAAGTTAATTTTTGCCATGATCCTATCCAAGACGACCAACTGGAATCCAGTCAATTTTGCACAATTTTGCTAATGTCTGAAAGTTCTTATTAAGTCTAAACTTGGTACATAACATATAGAACTGTGTTTTAGCACATAAATAAAACTTGATCTATGTCACAATCCATTCTAAAACTCTATCTTGCACAAAAATTGTAATTTTTTGTCTAATTAATGCACATCTATGCTTGTATATCAAATGTACACTCTTCAATCAGGTCTAAATTTGGTACATAGACAAATGTGTTTTTCTATTACATCAATGACAAGTTATCTGTGTCACAATCCAATGTAAAATAAACGACTGACAGCCATTTGTTTTAGATATCATTAACATATACATTACATGTTGCAGACCAATGCATGTAGTTCACATTGTGAAATGGAACATGCATTTGATGAAAAAAAAACCTGTAAATACTGACCGTTCATTTGTCATACAAGTATGGGAAGTCATGTCTGAATTGGTTGTGACATTGTCAAAGGCTCAATTGAAATTGTGAGTGTATTTTAACCTTTAAGTTCGTACCTTATAAAGGATAACCATGATTTAGTGAATTAATTGTAATGATATCATTACCTGTTAGTCCAAAGAGGCGTTCTTTCAATATAGGATCTTTTCCATTCCAAATAGCCAATGAAAAACACAACCTGGCACTGCCTATCTGTGATGCCTAGCAACCCATCTTCTCCCCATCTATAAGCTCTGGATCTGGCATGGTCATGTGGAAAATAGTCCCAGCTACAAATATTTCAATTTTGTTAGTAAAAGGTAGGTCATGTCCAAAACTAATCACTATCTAATTTTTATCTGTGTATTAACTGCATACATACAGGTACAGAAGTACCAACAGATAAGTTTTGGCTGAACCATAATTTTAGTTTTAAAATCTTGATACATCAATATAGGGTGCTGTTTATGAAGATTTATCCATATCCTCTACCGCCTGGCAACCCTCACGGTGAAAACAAAGACCAAAAACTCGCAGAAAACGGTACTTTGCGATGGTTGTTGAGAGTCCCCTGAACAGTGTAACAAGATTAGCCCTACGTGTGCAACATATATGAATTTGGTTGTTCAGGATTACTTCAAAGTTGAGTTTGTGTTGTTTTTCACCGGCTCTTCGACCGGCGTTCCACAGCAGCCTGCGCAGAGCCCATAGAAATGCATGTACAGTGGTGCGCGTCTTAGCAACATAGAACGTCTGTGACGTAGCTCCACCCCTGAGAATACAGGTAACAAATTGACTTGATTGTGTTAAATTTGTTTTCAGTATAAATTTCGAATAAAGTATAAAGTCTGCTGCACATATATAGATTTGCCTGTTCAGCTTTCTGTTGTAGCCACCAGTATATAGCGCCACCTAGTGGCAGCAAATTCTCAGTCTGCTTCAGTATTTTTGTTTTCCCCGGCTGTTTATGATTTTATCTATATACATGCATCTATATACAGACATTGACTAGATTATAGAAGACTGTTTTAATTGTTTGGAATTAAAGAACAAATATGCACCTATCATAGTAATACACTTAGAATAGAACATAAAAATATAGTTAGGACTTGTCAAATTGAAAGCACTGCGATAAACGACATAGCGATATAATGCAATATGCAAGTCACCCAGATGACAGGGGGTGCTCAGCTCAAACAGAAGGACCAAATGTAACCAACCCGGAAATTCATTGTACCTAATGATTTAAATAAGGAAACTAAATGAAAAGTGTATACGGCTTTCCAAGAAATCAGGACATCAAATCCGGACGTTGCTCTACAAATCGTGTCCTCTTCCGGACTGAATTTGATTTTGGTGACTACATATTGATTTTGTATACATCGAATAAAGTAAACAAATGCCATGTGTTAGTCGTTTGAATACATTGATGTAGCTATAGTACGGTACTAAAATTTGTAAATTTAAGATCAACTGACACCGAATGCAGCACATTTTGTAAAATATACAAAGAAATATCGGCGAC